ATCATCCAATCCTCATGAACTTAGCTCAGAATTCCCTACAAAGGCATACTTGAAATGTCACTTTTTACATAGAAAATCAATGAATTTTAAAATAACTATGTTTAAAAGTGACATACAACATTTTATTAATTTTTTAAGGGTTTTCTACTATTTCTAGCATGTTTTCTTTATTAATTGCACTAAAAACTATTGTAAAATACTAGTAAAATATGGATTCATCATTCCCTTTTTCTAGAATAATATGATTAATAAGTCTGAATCTATGTTTGTGTGTTTTAATTTAGGTTTATTGAGAATTCTAGTAGTTGTCATTTATTATGTGAATTATATTAGATGTTTATATTTTTTTAAGGTGGGAAAAAATTACAGATGTTTGATGGCTATTTGGTTGCTTTGAGTATGATGTTAATAGAATTTGATCTTTTAAAATAGTAGGAAGGAGCAAAAATGATTGATGAAGCTGAGAGGCTGGGACACGGTTGTAGGTTGCCTTAGATTTATAGTACTTGAATTGAATATAATAGAAATATTTAAGTGTAGTACGTAACGAAGGATTGAGTACAATGACCCACATGACTTGTACTTTTTTACATTTCTTAATGGACATCCCGATATTCATTCGTACTATAAAATAGAAATTGCTATTTTTTTTTATACATAGATGATAGAATCTTGGATTAATATTTTGTAGTAGGTTATTACTTATTTGTGAATTTTCTTACATTTGGAGTAAGTTGATGATTTAATTTCCAATGCCAAACTCATCCATCTTTGTGGGAGAAGTGATGAAATAATCCCTTGAGTGGTCTTTTACCTTCAAATTCCATGATTGGATGTTTTATAAAAAAAAAAATGAAATAGTTTCATTTTTTGAGATGTTGCATTGGTTATAGTTTGTTAGTGTTGTCTTACATCTAGTTATTTTCTGATCACATTCAGTAAAATAAATTAATACAGATGCAATCCATATGTGGTACATTCAAGTATTTCTCTTTATTTGTAACTGACTATTTGATTGTCAAAGTTATTCTGCATCTCTTCTTTGAATCTAAAGGATGAATTCAATAGTCTGTCATTTGATATTTTGAATCATATGTTTATTATTGAAGATATTGTTAATTCTGGTAGCTTATGTATATATGTTGTGTTTATGTATTCCTTTTCTTTGAATGATGAGTGGACACATGATATGGGGGCTTGTTGCCAACTTCTTTCAAACTGAAGACTATTGGTTTCACTTGCATGCTCACAAAAATGAACTTCTCTATTGTCTTCACACCCAGTTAACTGGTCATCTCCATTCTTTTGGACATGAAATATTTTCACACTTATTGCTATTCTTTTTTGAAAGACTATGGTCTATAAATTTATTTTTTTATTTTTCCTACTATTTTCACCGTGTCCCCAAACCAAATTTTTTTCTAAATACTCTCAATGTTCTTGTATTTTTCTTTTTGTTCTCTACACATTAATGTTTATGTCAGATTAGTGTAATTATATGTATTTATTATTGTGCCTATTGATTAAAGTCGTGTAGACTTGAACTATATGAATTGTTTATATGTTGGAATGTGAAATATAAAGGTTGTGTGATTGCCGGATAAGGAGCAGAGCAGTTGTTATGCTGTATAATGATGTTAATATATGAGAGTGCAGTATGAATGGAAGAATGATTGTTAAATGTGTTGAGTGTTTGGATAATTTAGAAAGTACGATTAAGAATTATTAGTATTTCACTCGAGAGAGAAATTTTGGAGTCTGGGTGCAGGTTATCTCGCTTAAATGAGATTAGTCTCGCTTAAGCGAGAGTAGATATGATTGCTTCAACTGAAACCTTGCCCACATGAGAAGGAATCTTGCTCAAGCGAGAGGTGACCTCGCTCAAGCGAGGTGTCGCCGGAGTAATAGGTAGTTCTCTGGACGCAATCTCGCCCAAGCGAGAATGCTGCTCGCCTAGGCGAGATGTAGCTCGCTCAAGCGAGAATATCAAAAATTTAAAAGATTTTACTGTCTGGTTTTCTCGCCCAAGCGAGGGTTGGCTCGCCCAGGTGAGAGCAGAGCTTGCTCAAGTGAGAAGTAGTTCGCTTAAGCGAGAACGCGCAGGCTGGAAGGGTATTTAAGGAGCCTCAGTGCCCAGAAACTTCATTTTCTCACTAGACAACTTTTCTCTCTTATTTTCTCTTTGTTCTCTCTCCTATTATTCTTAGAGAAAACTTTCTTGAAGTCGAGTTTCTCTCCGATCAAAGCGAGATCTTCTACCTTATCGAGATTTTAGTTCTCTCAGTTTTTAGTTTTTATCTTGTTTCTTCTCTCTCTTTCTCAAGGGACTAAAATTGGGTTATTTTGAGTAGATATGAACCGTTCAAGTTGTATTCCACACCCAAACGGTCGATCACTCCCTATGGAACCCATTATGAGCACTATCTTGGAACTTATTCCAGGTAAGGGGAGCTTGTTTGATTTGATCCAGTTCATTTAGTTGAGGCCGTGATGTCTATATAAATATTTCATTTTAGTGGATAATAATGGACTGTATGAGTTAACTTTGGGCTAAAACCCAGAGTGTATGTAGTTAAGTAGATTTCTCTGTTGTCTAATGATTGTTTAGAAAACCATGATGGAATATAATATGCTAGAATGCAGTGATATATGAGCCAAGAGTGTTGATATATGCTGGAATATTTAATTAGTATTTTGAGCTATTTAATTTGATTGGGTATTATGTATTGAAATGTTTGGTGTTACTGTTAGAATATGTATATAGCTGAGTTGTTGAAGCTGGGTGAAATAACATGTCTAGCTAAAATTGTTGAAATTGAAGATAAAAACTTGTTGTGCTGTTAATATTGGATGAAAATATATATTGTTATATCGCTGAGGTTGAGAATAGATTTAATTCTGCTGTATTATGCTAATTTAGCTGTACTACATCACATTTATCATTATCATCCTAGAGCTGCCTAGGACATTGAGCTGTGCTATGTCTGGATCCAGATACCGAAATGGGTCATTCCCAGACCAGAACAGTTCCTCTGAATTACTTAGGCTGTGAAACACTATGCCAGAAATTGGCTTTTGGAGCACCTACTTAGATAGCAGTTAGTAATAACTGCTTTGTATAAAACACTAAGAGAGCGGTTTCGCTATAACCGCTCTCTAATATATACTTCTTAGAGCGGTTCCATAAGAACTGCTGTCTAATATGGACTTTTGAGAGTGGTTCAATTGGAACCGCTCTCTAATATGGACTTCTAAGAGCGGTTCATTTGGAACTGCTCACTAATATATACTTTTGAGAGCGGTTGTTAAATAACCACTCTAAGAAGTATATATTAGAGAGAGGTTCCAAATGAACCGCTCTCAGAAGTCCATATTAGAGAGCGGTTATGAAATAACCGCTTTTAGATGTTGTATTTTTAAAACCCTAATAACCGCTCTTAGATGTTGTATTTTTAAAACCCTAATCTGGTTATTCTTGTCGCCCCGCCAAGTCTGTACTTCAAAATTCTCTCTGTTCAGTGTTCTTTGAGAAATTTTTGTAGAGGAACAAGCACACCTGACATCGCAATCGCAAATTGAAGGTATATTCATAATGGTTTCTTTGTTTTCTGGCCATGTTTAGAGATTCGCACTCTCTCATTCTCTCTATTCACTGATACGTACCTCTGTTTTTGACGTTGAACAGTAACAATGTCTCCTCCATTTCTGGTTCTAGCTGAATTGCGACAAATTTGCACTCCTTTCTTAATTCTAGGTTAGTGCATGCTGTTGTGTTTATAATTTGTATGAAATGAATATTTTTAACATGTTGGCCATTGCTGCCGCGTGAAAAAAGAGCATGAAATTACTTTGTATATTGTAAAAGTTAATATGGGCAGGTTGAATCTTAGTTTGTTAACCTCTAAAATGTTGTTGGAATGGTTTTTTAGAATTTGTTGAACATGATATTAGGACACTAGTTATTTATAATGCAAGAGCATGTTGTTGTGTTTGTTAACTTATGATATTAGGATTTTTAAAATTTTTATACTCTTGTTTGTTTTGCCCCCGAAATGTATATTTCCTCTGTGTATGAATGAATTTGATGTTGTATTGTAGAATATGATGAATGCATGAATATTGTTAGTGATTAAACTTTGTAGGTTATGATCTCAAATGTAAAATTAAGTGAAACCATAGTCTCCTGTTTAAGATTGAAAATAATGTTTAATAAATCATTATTTTCAATCTCAAATTGTCCAAGTTGGATAGTTTGTGAACAAACTTATTCATTAATTTGTTAGCATTTGCTTCTCATAATGTTGTATTTAATACTTAACAAAATTTGAGTTTGAAACATTTTTCATTGTCTCTTGGTGCATGCTTGATTGAGGTAAATCATATCATATATTTCAATTTGTGTACTAGGAGACTAATGCAAATTGCTGGCCAAGTTTTATCAAGTAAAAAATACAACATTTAAGTAACATTTGTTAATTAAGGTTGGAAAAAGTTTGTTCTCAAATGGGATAGGGCCCTACCATGTGAGAGTTAATAAGACATTCACATTTATAATGATCGTAACTGTAGTTAGAGCAAATATGGATCGAAGTTGGATGGTAGCTAATCATTTAAGTGAAGAATACGAAGAAAGAGTCAAAGAGTTTATTAGATTTGCGATTAAGAATGCAGCTGATGTCAACCTTATTCTCTGTCCTTGTTGGTGTTATTTGAATATGTTACAAGTAAATGCGGAAGAATTGGAAGAACATCTAATGTGCAATGGGATAGATGAAAAATATGCTTGTTGGACAAAACACGGTGAGATACAAGGTGAAAGTACATCAACTAACATGGAATCAAGTGTCAATTACTCAGAGACATTTAGAACAAATAAGAGTGATCATGCTGAACAAATTCCAAATGTTGTTGAAGAAGATCTTAGATATTGTCCAAAGATGTTTGAGAGGCTGAAAGATGATGCAGAAACACCATTATATAATGCATGTACAGAGTTCACAAGATTGAGTTCTGTTTTAAAGCTTTATAACTTAAAAGCCTCGAATGGATGGACTGATAAGAGCTTCACAGAGCTGCTAAGTTTATTACATGAGATACTGCCGGAGGATAATGTGCTACCGAAGAGAACATATGAGGCTAAACAAGTACTTGCTTCCATTGGATTGACCCATGAAAAGATACATGCTTGTCCTAATGACTGCATTTTGTTCCGAAATGAGTATGCATCATTAAGGAAATGTCCAAAGTATAATGTATCACGATACCTAAAGAAAGACACAACACTTGCGAAGGTCGTGTGGTATTTTTCACTAATACCGAGGTGAAGACGTCTTTTTCGCAGTGCAAAAAATGCAAAGCAAATGACTTGGCATGCTAAAGGCCGAATTAGATATGGAAAGCTTAGGCATCCAGCAGATTCTCCGTAGTGGAAAAATTTGACGATGACCATGAAGAGTTTGCAACTGAAACAAGGAATATACGTTTTGCATTAGCAACCGATGGAATAAATCCACATGGCATGCAAAGTAGCACCCATAGTACATGGCCCGTGATCTTAATAATGTATAACCTACCTCTATGACTTTGCATGAAGCGAAAATATATGATGCTTTCTTTGTTAATCTCTTGTCCTAAACAACCTGAAAATGACATTGATGTCTACTTGTCTCCTTTAATTGAAGATTTAAAGTTATTGTAGGATAATGGCATAGAAGTATATGACGGATTTAGAGATGAAAATTTCATAGTCACAAATAGGTATTGATTTGGTACGTTTCTGAATGCCTAATTTCAGAAAGAAAATGAGGCAAATGCACAAAGGGCAAAAGAAATGTCGTACAGATATAGGAGGTCAGCTAAGGGATATGCTCAGTTAGAGCAAGAGTTGATATGTATATTTGTGTCTTATGTAACAATGTGATGCTAATGTGTTATCTTATGTTAAACTTATTAACGACGGCATTTGGCCTTGAAATTTTGTGTAGATTGCTACATTTGCGTCTAATTTGACCTCAGTACCTCGACATATCCTTTGGAAAGCTGCTAGGGTAAATAAACAAGGTAGCATTGATGACGAAGGAGTTAAAAAAATGGTCAATGAATTTGTAAGTACTTAATACTAATGTGTTAGTATTTTCAAATACGTTAAGTTTTATTTTGAATTCTCCTTTAATGACCTAATGGTTTTTTGTTATGTTTATTGTAGGGAACCCTTTCACAGGTCACTCCAGACGCTGAGATTGAATCAACAGCCAAAAATGACATACTCTCTCAAGCACTTGGTGTAAGAGAGCATCCAAGGTCGCGTGAGGGCTGTAGGTTTTGGGGTGACCCAAAAATTTGCATTTGGGCCAGCTACATGTCCACATCCTTCATCTGTCGAGTGGCAAAACATGAAGCATTGGGTAGCGCATTTGACCAATGTAGTGACACAGTTGACAGGGTGTTAGGGACTACCCCCATTCATGTCAGGTCAGATGCCATTCAACCCCACTCATTCCCCACTACCATGTATGCCATCCCCTTTCAATATTGCTCCTCAAATGCAACCGATGGTGGATATTGGTCCCCAAACGCCTATAGATGCACCTTCTGCCAGCCATAGATGCAGTTGCACACCAATTGCATCTGTTGAGATTCCAGAGGTATTTAAACTACAGTAAATAATCATTTACCTTTTAATGTTTAATGCTTTTGATTTAATTTTTTCGTAATATAACAAACGATCAAAATATAGGGTGATAATGACTGTATGCTATACTTGAACAAACCTTTTCGCTTGGTTGCAAGAGGTAGAGTATATCATACAGTGGCTGGGGACTCCTGACATAATATGGCTTTTCCTCTAGAGCATGGTAAGGTTTCTGTAGAGGTTGTGCAACGACATGAGGAGGACTCTGCACTGCCTGTCCCAAATGACCAAGCAAACCTGTATTCCCTGAGAGATGCCATTGGTACTTATATTGCTTGGCCATTGTCCCTAATCACTTTAAGACCCAAGGTATGTAAACGTGTTTCTTTATAGTTGCTGTTGCTAGATGTTACAATTAAAAGGTTTGCTCTTTTCAGGTTGCCCCTTCATCAGGTAAAAGGTTAGGGAAAGAGATAGGCTACTCAAAAGAGTCCATTGCTGGTCCATGTAATAAAGGTAGCACTGGTTGTGTGTCATCAGAGATTCTGAAGTTGGCAGAAGCCCAAGGTGCTGCATGCTTGGATATAATGAAGTTGTTTGTGAGAAGTGATCAACCCATTGATACAGCTACATTTCAACTGACAAGTGAGCACTGAGGTAAAGAGTTTTGTGACATTGTGGGGAAGGAAAACATCATAGAGATGATACGTTGACATTGGTTGAGTGCCTCTAGCATTAACCTTTACATACGGTACTTGTATTTTCAAATTATATAATTCATAGTCAATTTATAACTTTTATAACCTTTATTTAATAATGTTCAATTCTACTTTTGAAAAACAAGATATTTGTGTGAAGCTTATTTGCATGGGACAATGACAAATAGATTCTCTTTTATATCTCTGTATGAAATGGACGAAGCGCTCAATCCGAACCCACATCAACATATAGCTGAAATGTTGAAGTGTCATATGGGTGAAGATCGCTTGATTTTTGCACCTTATAATGTTGGGTAAGTCAATCTCATTGAGACTCTGCTTTATGTTTTATAATTTAACATATAACTTTTAAACTTAGTAATCTTAAAATGATATTTATACTCGTGGTAGGCAACATTGGGTCTTGGTTGCCATCAATACTGCTGATGAGACTATCTATTACATGGACCCTCTACGCAAGCAGCTAAAGATGAGAACACACATGCAGAACTTATTTAATAAGTAAGCATTCATTTATGTCAACAAACTATGATTAATGTTAAGTGGTTCAAATGTATCTAATTTCTTTGGTTAACGACTCTTAGTGCTCTTGTCACGTATAGAGCAGAGAGGGGAGTGCAGCCCTCTAGTACAAAGATGAGTCAAACAAAATCGGTCATTGTACAGGTAAGACTATATCATATCTCATGTTTTTAATTTTCACCTAAATTATAATTGTACTATATATCATTCTTAGTTAATGCTATTTTATTTGATTTTTATCTTCCACACAGTGTCCTAAGCAAACAAATAATGATGATTGTGGATATTATGTGTCTATTCATTGGGGATGCTTTGCACCATGGACAAACTGTAATCCCAGTAAATGTAATAATCTTACACATTCCAATTTGTTTGCCATATGCTTATTATTTCACTTAACTAATTAAGTTTTGTTTTTCCTGTCCTTGTATTTTATTACTTTCCAGAGGTGCAGATGCTAACTTTTCCTGACAACAAAATTTTTCAATTGCAAAGGAGTGGTGTTCATATCTGTACCATAGATATTTAAAGGAAACATTAAGCACAATAAATTATTAGTGTTCTTTCACAATATTTAGACAATTTTCTTTCAAGGCTGCAATGTGTAAATATGAGACTCTGATTGATTGTAATCTATACATGTGAATTGTAATTGAATAATACAATGTGCAATTGCTCTGAAATTCTAGTATATCAGGCTCTGTTTGAAGTTTATATTCTGTTTGAATTGGTTCTGAATACTGTATTATTTACCAGGTATGCTAAAAAAAATGTTTTAAGCCAGTTTTATTAAAATATTTAAAAATATTTCTTAACTTTAGAGAGCAGTTCACAAAGAATAGCTTTGCAAAGTCCAATTCTGAGAGCGGTTCATAAAATAACCACTCTCATAATAACACTTAAGAGAGTAGTTAAATATGAACTGCTCTTAGAAGTTCACTTTGGAGAGTGGTTCTCCTTTAACCGCTCTCCAAAATATACTTCTAAGAGCGGTTTATGTTTAACCGCTCTCATAAGTTTGAAATAAGAGAGCGGTTAAGCTGTCAACCGCTCTCTTTAGTCTAACTTCTGAGAGCGGTTCGATCTTAACCACTCTCCAAAGTACTATATTTTGTAGAGCAGTTATGCGCTTAACCGCTCTCTTTAGTGAATTTCTGAGAGCGGTTAACCGCGTAACTGCTCTCCAAAATATACATTTGAGAGCGGTTAAATAACGACTCTCCGAAAATGAAGACATTGGATGACACGTGATTTTAAAGCACCGCTAATCGCTCTCTTAATTCAAGCGGAATCGCTCTTAGATCTCGTTTTTGGCGTAGTGAAACTAGATAAAAAGCTGAATTGTTGTATTTGCATTAGATGGGCTGGGAATGGGTTGGACATGCTGCATTGTTTTATTGAAGCTGTGTACTGTTGTGTGCTGAATGTTATAAGCTGTTTAAATAATCTTATCTATATTCATTTATATTTCATTAATGAAGTTGTCAATTATATAAGCTCACGCTTGCATTTTGTTGTGTTGGTATAAATTCCATAACAAATTGTTCATATAAAATAGAACAATTAAAAGCAAAGATGCATAGGAAACGAGCTACTTATCGTAAATTTTCTCTATTTTTGCAAAAAATTGGATTTAGATAGAATGTAGAATCCAACACTATCACTGCAAGTGAAGAAGTATGGCAAAATATCTACGGGTATGATTTAATTTAATTATATTTTTGTTTTTTATTTAATTTAGTATTCAATAATTAATAATGTATTGATTATATGCTTATATTATTTTAGGTACATGATAAAGCTACTCAATTTCAAAAGAAAGGATATGACCATTATAAGTTACTGGGAATGATATTCAACAGAAGAACTGTAACTAGAGTACTTCATCATTCATCTATCCAAGATCCACCAAATATAGATGAAGAAAATGAGCTTGAAAATCAATACCTCGATTGTAGGAGTGATAGCTTAGATGATGACACAGTAGAAGTAGAGCGCATCTCACGTAGTGGAAAATGCACAATTCAAGTAAAAGAGAACAAGTCTAGGACATTACAAATGGGAGAGACACTTGCAGCATGGACTGAAGCATCTAAGGCAAAAGCTGAGAAGTATAAGGCTAGGAGTATGGAGAGTACTT